AACAGATTACATATAGTGTCCTCTGGTTGTAAATAACCCTTGTACCCGTCCCCCTTCTCATAGCTTTAATTCTCTATATCTGACAAGACAATTTTCTCATTCCGTTTTTGCTTTGATCCTCTAAAAAGCTTTGACCAGGTGACTTGATTCATGACAAACCTTTGCCAAAGCCGTGACTCCAGTCACAGCGTGATATACAGCACGCAGCATTAGCTGTGTGTAGAAGATTAGGCAGCACACAGAGCTTAGTTCAAGTGTTACTTAAACTCTCTCTGCTTCCTCGTTCTGCAGTCAGTGTACTCAGCTCTACTGGGACAGCTTCTAATGGCTTCATGTCTGTGGATTTTGCAGGGTTGATGATATAGTACAGTATAATGTGTAGTATAATGTTGCCGCTCAGTCCCCAGATGCAGCCGCAGTTTTTCCACAGAAACTAATTGCATCAGAAGATGGGCACCGTGAGGTTAAATGCACTGCTGCTGCTGCTGTTGTTGATGTTTGGGTCCTTCCAGAGGGGGATTTCTCAGTTGCCTGAGTGGAATGGAGAGCTGGAAGGTAGTGGTAAGATCTCCTCTTCTCACAATATGATGTTAGTTTTCAATCACCTGGTCTCAAAGTCATGGCACAAGAATCATTGCATTGTGGAACCAGTTATTATGGATCTCTACATTGCAATATCTTTCTTAATGTTGGCCTTGTAGTCTACAGAGTATTTCTACTTTGGGGTTTCCTTTAGAAAACCTCAAGAATCATATATTTTAATGATTAGATATATGTTTGTCCAGTCCTAATGTATAAAAAAAATGCCCATAAAATTGCTTCACTGTAGGTGTGATAGAGTGGATTCCCCAACCGGATTACATAGACGACACATACTGGTCCGGGTCAGCACCTCTTTGTTTAGGAGGCTGTAGGTCGCGGCATGAGGAGCTGAGGAGGGATCGCTGTGGAGACTCGAGCTGCTGCTGGCTCGGCTACAAGTCTCTGTGCAGAGGTAAGACCCAGGCTGAATGTGTGTTCATATTAGATGCAGACGGTCATGCTGTTGTGTAACTGAGCTTAATATCACGCTTTGCATTTTCTTTCCTCTGTGTGCCAGTGAACTGTGGGAGGCCAGATGTGGACTATAATGGAGTAGTGTACGGTAACGACTGGTGGGTGGGCTCTGTGGTCAGGTACTCCTGTCGCTCTGGCTTCATGTTAGTGGGAAACCCAACCAGGTCATGTCAGTCTAACGGCCTGTGGACCCCAAAACCCACCTGCCTCCGTGAGTAAACACACTGACCACAGTAACACAAGTTTTATGACCCTATTTGAACCTTTGTACCTCTTTTACCTGCCTTTCAGGAATGTGTCCACAGGGACGCATTGAAATCAGTGAAAGGGAACTAAATGGGACGTGCAACTCCACCTGCGAGTATAAGAGCTACTTCGGCCCACCTAAACAAGGCTGCAGTCGGATAGACAACTGTAGGAAGAAGGAGACTGGCTGGAAGCGGTTCTTTGCACAGTGTGTCCCTTGCATTTGCGACTGCGCTTTATCATGTGGTGAGTAGCTTCTCCAACCACACTGCCAAGCGTTATGACTGGATGCAATGTGAGCATGTTGCAGTGTTTTCTCAGTGCAAATACACTTGAGTGTGGTTAGTCATTGCTTTGAACATGAATTTGCAGCCCTGCTGTCAGAAACACCGTGCAAAGAACACTTTTTGTCTTTTTATTTTTAGCATCTGCAGGCTAACACACACAGAGAGAGACGACAGGCAAAGAAGAGATGCAAACCAGCTGTAAATCAGAGTCGCACTATGTTTTTGCTGCCTAATCCAATTGCATGGACGAATGAATGGACTCAAATCTGGATGTTTTGGGGCACTAATTTAATCTCTCCGGCACAATGACGCCAACAGTTTCCCCTTGTTTTCTTTATTTTGGGATTATATACTATGACAAGAGGATTTCAGTGCCTGAGGTTGAGACGGCTCAGTCAATGTGTGTGATGTTTGGTGTCGAGAGCATCAGAAAATAAAAGTGAGACGAATCTGAATCCATTCCAAGTGTCTGAGACTATGTCAGACTCGGGTCAAACAAGTATTTGAAATGCAAAGTGACTTCAATTGACTTCAGTCAGTTGATGAAAGAGAGGCTTATTTTGTGTAGACAAACGGTCAACAGGGCAGTATGTGGTAGCCCAGACAGCATTCTCTGATTGCTTGATTTAATCTGGTGCTAAATATAATGTCTTGTCACAAATTCCATCTACCAGGAATAGCTCACATGCTCTATTTCACATGCATGTGCGCGGGAAAAAAAACAACGATAATGGCGAGTAGAAAGGGAAGTGAAACCACGGAGATTAGCGTCTCTGCCTCACCACTCCTCCTCTCAGTCCATCTGTCCTGGAAGGAGCTGAAACCATAATCTTGTTACAAAGGGCGCAGCTTTGGTCAGGGGTCAGAGTTAACACGGTCAGTGTTGTAGACCTTGTCAGCAAACTGTATTTATTTTACCAATTGTGTTGTATTATATTTATTCCAGAAGTATAGCTCAAATATACATTTGTTGTACAATTAAATCTTTATTTTTATATTTTGTAGATGGATTTTAGAGATATGAAATGATGTCTAGTGCATTTGTAATGAATAAAATGAACAAAAATCCTACTCGTGCATCTGATGTTGAACAGTTTGAAGCATCACCAAGTTAATTTCTGAAGCATTCAGTCACACGGACCTTCATCAGAGCTTTACAGATTAGAACACAATTTATATCATCTTGTATGCATCTACTTCAAACAATTCAACTGAACAGCACTCACTCACTATTTTTTGAAATGTGTTTTTACTTCATTCCTGATACCCAGTATAGTAGTAAAAAGAAAAAAAAAAGTACAGATGAAATAAGTCAGACATTTACAACATATTTTTCAATCCAGTTGAGTGTTAATGTGATTTGAAGTGCAGATTCACTGGATTACTTTACAGTGTGCGTTTGACAGATGAAATTGCTGCTGAAAGCCACTAGATGTTGCTGTTTTGTTTATTGTCACACAGCAGGTCACAGCCTGTAGCGCCACTGTGCACTTTACAAGAACTTGGCAATCTACAGAAAACCACAATACAAAAACATTAAAAAAAAAAAGAAAAAAGAAAATACATTTTAATTCTGTTCCACATCTGGTACTGAGCAGTCACTGCTAGACACTTGTTACTGTTGTGGAACCCAGGTGCTGAACCTGAGGATGATGTGTTCATTTGGTTTAGGTCTGTAGCAGCCGATTCCTAAGAAGAGAGAAATGAGATGCTGGTATTTCAGTTATAAATACAGATTCTGTGCTACTCAGTTCACATGGTGTCCCTACAGAAACATCAGTCATGAGATAAAAGCTACAGTATATGTGCAGCATCTCCTCTTCTCAAAGGAATTCCTTGTTATTTGAACAAATATCCCACTACAATTGTGTAACCTCACTGCCTCCTCCTTATGCAAAAGATAGATATACAGTAATGCTATTTTAGAATAATCACACCAAAGGGCATCCTGAGGCAATAAGTGAAAGAATAACCAAGTCTCCTGCCTCATTACAGCTCATTAAGTCTTCCTCAGATATGTTGCACTGAAGCTCTGGGGAGGATACTCACCCACATCCAGTCTGCTGAACTCTCCAGAGTTATCCGACAAGATCTCCCAATACGTCTGCTCGAGCTCATTTCCAGCTACTCCATTCACACTCTCCAGCAACAGGCCAAAGTCTGGGTCCTCCTTCACTGTGAACCTGGCAACACAGAGAGACGAGTCAAGGAAAAAAACAGAAATGGATCACCATCATCTTAAAAAATGCAGGAGAAACAGCTTGCCCCACCTCTTTAAGAGTAAAGGATGACAGGCAGAGATTTGAAAGGGGGACGTGGTGGGTGATCTTACTCGAAGCCATGCTGTGTTTCCTGCAGCCTCCTCATTGCTCCCAGCAGCACTCCTCCCTCCACCACAGAGCTGAAGAAGGACTCGGGAGTCATGTTCGACAGGTCATTCTCCACAGACAGTATGATAGGAATAGATGCTGGACCTGCATGTAAAGTCACATATCCAGGTGATGCACATGACGCCACAAAATAAAGGTTACGTTCCTGTACATTTACCTTTGTTGGTGAGAGCTCCTGGTGTCAGCAGCAGCAGAAGGCCCACAGAGAGCAGAGCAGAGGTTCTTAATGCCATCCTGTCCGAACTGTTCCCTCAGATGTGTTTAACATCACATCACCTGAGTACTTATAGCATGCCGAGCCCACGTTTGCGAGCACATACCGGTCCCAGAATAATCCCACCTTCAGAGCAAAGACGTCTTTGTTGGGTTTAAATATTCACAGTTACACACTAAACACAAGTGCTCTTATGTCACAAAAGTCAGGCGCTGGTAATGTGTGCTTTATGAACAGAGTAATGTCTGAAGTGATTTGATGATCATTTACTTGATTAATGATCTGCCTTGTGGTTGTGGGGTTGATTTTTTTTTCCAGATGGCAAGAATGAGAAGGGCTTTGTTGTCCTTAGATAATATATGTAGCTATGCAAACCTGAGCTTATTCTATAGAGACTGAATGAAAGGTCACCTCTCTCTTTATCTCTCTCCTCTAGACAAATATTACATTATGCAATCAAGATTTGGCCTTTGAGGTAGAATAATAAGTGGAGGCAATGGCAATCTTAGAAATTGAGCCTGAAACTGGTCGTGCAACATGTTTAGTGGAGCCCAGAAACACAGGATTCACCTTTATGTTGCGTTGTCTCTAATACACTAAAGCTGGCATATAGAAGAAGAAAATAGAAGAGAAAAATGTGGATGGAAACTATGCAAACCTGTGAAGATTTAAGGCTAAATGCATGTGATAGATTCAGATTTGCATGTCTAAGTGTCTAAGAATATGGCCCTGGCTGATAATATTAGCCACAATAAGGAGGCAAACCACTCAGAGAGAGATGTGCTCTGAAATTGCTCGTGTGGCGACGAGAGAGTTGGTTTTAAATTAGTCTGATTAAGAGGCAGGTGCGATTGGCTAAAAATGGTTTTGATTTCCTCTCAGGGGTGATGTAAGGCATGTAGGGCCCGCTTGAACGCGAGTAACCCCGACTGTTTTACCGAAAATAACCCGGGCACTGCAGCATCAGCACCAGGCAGCTGCGCAGGTGCGGCCTTTAAAGAGACAGAGCGGCCGAAATTTCACCAAAAATAAAAAAAACCTTCCTCAATGTTTACTTCCAGCAGTGTGAGGACGGCATCGGAGCCAAGCCGAAGAGCACTGTGAGACATAAACCTGCACAGTTTCATTTTGTTAGTCCCATTTCTCTTATTACAACCATTAAAGTAGCTCCAGAGGAGAAAACTGGATGCGTAAAAATGTTTAAACTTCCACCTGAGAGGGTAAATGGATGAAAACTACCTTGACAGTCAATCTGATCTGAATTAATTTAATTAACTCTGAAGCTATTCCAACTTTTACGTTCAGTGTCCTAGCTTTAAATCACCACAACATCCTAAAAAAAAACATCTCCTTACACCCAGTTGGAGATGTGTCTATTATTAATTAGTGTCGTCCAGCCTGCTGTGCTTTGGCCTGTAATGTTTCTTTTTTTTTTTCTACGAGACTTGACTCATCCCTAAAACATGAGATCAGGATGAGAACAATCAAAACCAAAACAGCATCTCCTCCAGCAGCATCTTGCCAGCAACGCCCTGCATCCCAGACCGGCGTGCGCACCACACAGACGCACTAACCGGCGAGAGGAGGACGGCGGCTGCTATCGAGCTGCAGCTGATGCCGCTGAAGCATCTGCAGCGCTGTTTGGCTGCCTTTTTTCCCTTCTCTGTGTGTGTGTGTGCGCGCGTGTGTGTGTGTTTGCTTCCAGATGTCAGGGGAGACTGAAGATTGCCATCAACGCCGCTGCTGAGGATGAATGTGAGCAGGCTGCTTCGACGGACGGATTTCACGGGAGGAATAATCTTTGCGAGGGAAAACATGACAGGCGTCCCCGCGGCGGTTCTCCGGGATGCAGTGATAGTTTGAGGGCCGGACATGATTTTAATCTCAGGGGTTGCTGTAGTGGATGCGGGATGATGCGCGCCGCACCCCGAGAGATATTGATAAGGAGAACACAGCTCGGTCCTTCAGTGTCCCACAAAAGATCTTTCCTGGACTGTGGCGCACAGTGAGCATCTTCATTTTTTCTCTCTCTCTCTTTTTTTTTTTATTCTTTTGTTTTTGGGGACTGATGTGGAAGGATTGGGCTGTTTTGACTGAAGGGATCCACTGAGCACTGTTGCTCTCAACAGGAGAGGGGAAAAGAGAACCAGGGCTGAGCTGCTCACCTGGTCGTTTCAACACACAAATAATAAGTATGTCCCATGTTTGCTTGTGTGTGCCTGTGCATGTGCAAATGCAATACACTGTAGGACATCTAGTGCAAAGGATGTCCTCAGAACATATATGAGTCATCCACTTATAGGAGTCACTTCTCCCTCTTTCTTTTTTTTTTGCTCTGTTAAATAGTGTCTTGTGTTTTCATTCCCATCAGTTTGCTGGTAACAGGTGCTTTTTTCCCCACATATTTTTGGAAAAGCTGGGAGCATCCCCTCATCACTCAGCAGTCGTTGCAGAGATCCACCACCACACTACTGCAAAGCTACACGGACACGTCTAATAACCATATTTCATCCCCTTACAGGAGACTTTTACTATGGCTGTGTGCTCACGTGTCCTGCCTTTGGGGCCGCACATGACGGAACATGGAGGCCTTCCTTCAGAGTGAGAGGCCATTAAAGTCTGTCAGTGTTTTTACATGGCTCATATGCAGGATGGTAATGGAAATACACTAATGGCAGGATGATCAATAGAAGCCATGGTCAATTTTCATCAGTGGTCCTCTTCACGTGTAGATATTTTATTACACATACAGTAGGTCATGGATAGTAGACAGGAGAGTACTACAGGACTGCAGGGGATTGCATGGCAGCAGGAAGCAGATTATGTGTCCGGTTAGGATTTGGAAAGTTACACACATGTGACTTTTAATCTTTATTTTCTGCGTCCTGTGCTCCGTACTGTTTTTCTGCAGTGTTGGCCGTGTCACATTTATCAGGATTTACGACTGTAGCGTTGTTTCTGATGTGAGCGGTGTCACAAAATGATCTTTTTATGAGGATTAATGTGCCTGAGCTAGTCGCAGCTCGGTAATGGCTGGGTGGATGGTATGACATTGTTTGTACAGTGTGTGTGGACGTCTTACCGCCTCCTGTTTATTTGTGTTCGCTCAAAAATGACCAAAAAAAACAGTCCTAAAGGTGTTGTTTACATGGCAGGGATTACCAGGCCTGCATAGCTGGGCAGTTTCAAGTATTTGGGAGGAATCATGTTGTTTTGCATGTCGGCTTACTGGACACAAATTAGACTGTATGAATGTAAAGAATATTTACAGGATTTTGTGATACTTGTTAATTTGTTGATGCAAAACACTTGTGAACCCAACTCATATAGCTTGATGCATTTGACTTGCAGCCCACTGGGATGGTCTATTTGTTGAAGTTTTTCAACGATCAGTTGGTATTGAGTCAGTCAAATATAATGGATACTTTTAGAAAATGCTTTTTTAATGTTAAGATTATGTGTGTTAA